TTAAGGTAAACAGCCATGGGAAGGCCTCTCATGATTGGCCGGGAATAATATGCATTACCAGAAAAGCATGAGCTACCGCTCTTCACCTTCCTTCTGCCATCCATCTGCAGTGCTTCCCTAAAAAGGGCCATGGATTCATATTCTCCTCTAGGTTTTCCAGTATGGGTCCAGTCTGAACCAATTCAGATCTTCAGGAAGAGTAAAGGTGAACAGAAATATATTTCCTTCTCCTTGTATTTTGAAGGCCAACCTCATTTCAGTTAGAAAAGAAAGAATGTTGGAGAAATTATTTTTGAAAAGAAAGGCAATTAACCTGAATTCTAAGTAGTGAGAAAATATTTCTTCCTTGATTATGTTTGTTCTTAAGTATGATTATAGCATTTCACCTTAAAAACACTTTGAAGGGTTCTACCAAGATAGATTCTTAATAATACATCTCTGTAGTAACCCTTATTGAACAGTTTTGATTGTTCAATATTCCTAACTTCAATTTAGGCACAAATGTCTCACTAAATGGAAGTGTTAGTATGATTATTTCCATGCTTGAAATTTCTGTGAGGTGCTACATTGGCTAACAAACATGCCAAAAGTTTTCCTGCAGAGTGAGGAGATGTATAATAAGCCTGCAACCTGTGTGATGTGTGTGTATGTGACATACATAAAGAAAATGTTCACATACATAAGGCCCAGAAAATCTGGATTAAAGTACCTTAAAATACACAGAATTTTTTAAATTGTAAGTTAGCAGATTTTTTTTTAAGGGCTTTTATTTTTAATGTAATTTTTTATGCTACATATTTGTGAGCCTACAGTGTGCCAAGTTTTGTAGCATTACTGTATATTAGAGAATCATAGTTCATTGAAATAAAGTGCAGAGGTAAAGAACTATTTTGTAAATGACACAAAATTTTCCAATTTGAATTTGTGTTTGCTTCTAAATTTTCATATCTTAATTCTAGTTACCTACTTGCTGTGACTAGATAGAGAAACTGCAAAAATTTAAGTTAAGGAAAAACAAAAGCATTGCTTGTCTCTTCTAAATGGAGACATTTTGAGGGGTCAATTTGTCTTTTTTTTATTAAATTTCAGATAAGAGTTCTTGTCCTATTCCTTCTCCCAGGAATTTATCTTGCTCCTTTCTAGAAGCATATTAAAATACCCATCATGTATGATGGTCTCATAGTATTGAATTCCTTTTTGGAACCATTTGGTACTATTATTTTCGAGTTTGAGCAATGAAGACTCTTTTCTTGGTTATACCCTGTACCCCAGAGATAGGAATTTGTCCTTCTCACCTGCTTCTTGAGCCCTTCCCTGCATGCTAATGATGCTTTGGATCCCTGTCCTGTCTGGCCCAAAGATTTTGCTTCCCATTGCTTTTTCCGAGGAGCTCTCTGTTTAGTTCTGGCTCTGGAAATAATAATTGGTACTTTCTTCCTAATATGATTACATGAGCCACCAGATTACTGGAGTTTAAATAAAATGTTAGTAGGCTGTTCTAATAGGCAAGTTTTGGTCTTGCTTTTTCCCCTCAAAAGACTTCAGTAAGGGTTGGGATCCATACTACAGATCAGTAACAGAAAGATTATTTCTTATGGGATGAGAAGCCGGACGACTTGTTATCTATCTTGCTATTTCCCACAGGCTCCTACCCAGAGATTCTATCCAGTGAAACTCCCACAGCAACGCAGGTAGACGGGGCTGACCTGGCCTCTCCACTGTCTCCTCGAACTAGCAAAAGCCGCATGTCCATGAAGCTGCGTCGATCCTCTGGTTCAGCCAATAAATCCTAAGGAGACAAGCAGCCCAGCAGTGTGATCAGCAGTAACCACCTTAGCATGAACATAGTGTTAACCCTTTCAGGCCTTCGTGTTTGCCATAACATGCATGTTTCTTCCTGAACATTTATTTTAGAAAACACTGGATTTAAATAATTTGTAAGTTAATATTTTAGATTTGGGTTGTTTATTCAGTTGGTTGTTTTTCCCCTCCAACACTCTAAGCTGCCATATTTTTGGGGGGTGGAGTTTTATTCTATACCCTTTACCTTCCTGGATAATTATGTCTAAGCAGTTTCACTTTTAATTTCATGATTAACTTTGAACCAAACTATAATTGGACAGATAGTCTCATTATTTTATTTATTGTGCCCCATTGCAACTTTATGGCTCAGTAAATGTATAATTTTTTTACAAATGTAAATTTTTAAATTTAAGCATTTGTAAAGTTATAGCAAAAGTTGCAAATCTTAATACACAGGATGTGTATGGATTATTTATGTTATGAAAATAAAACACTTAAAATAAATGGTCTTTTAGCATCTCAAATTCCAGCTGACATAATTTTAGCATTAACTTTTTCTTCCCAAAGCAATGCCTCATTTCTTGGCTGTGCAGATGATGCCATGATATATCTCATAACCAGAAAAATCACTGTGCTGAACTTTGATTTGTGTTTAGCTTCCAAATATTTTTCTAATGTTTTGCTTTTTAAATGGTATCAGTGTTAAATGCCATTTTTGTTTTGAGATTGTGGCCCTGTATTATTGGCTGCTGGATCCTGGTATATCTGTGTTCTTTCCTGAGTACCAAAAAGAGGGTAATCGGGGGGATGGAGAGAAAGAAAAAAAAAGAAAGAAAAAACTTTTCTGATAGAAATGTGTTGCTTAAATTATGTGTAATTTAAAAGAAAAGGGAACATGACCCAGGAGTCTAAATTAAATCTAGTATTATTAATACTGAACTTGCTGATGCAGGTTGGTATTCATTCCACCCTCCAGAAATATTTTCCTACAGTAAATAAGCTGCTCACATTTTGTCCATATTTTGTTTTGAACGGGCATCTCCTAAGGAAATGTAGCATGACATCAGTACTAACTGCATGTGTAAATACATCATACGGGCAAACTCTAAAATATAAATTATGTATCATCATTCATGTAGTATCTACAAATTTGTAACAGTGAAAGAAAAAGATACGGTATTTAATAATACAATAAAAATATTCTTATCACTTATGTCCACGAGCGTTGATTTGTCTTTTATATTTCTTGTCTATTTGTCTTTAATATATTTGCAGAACTGTATGATTAATGGAGAGATATAAAGCATAAACCTAGGTTATCTTAGCAAATCATGAAAAAGGAATTTGAATTCCCTTGTTAGGATACACCCCAACTTCTCAGAGACTCTAGCACAGTCACTGAAAATGCAGGCAATCTTACACCTTCATAACGGCTGGCCAGAAACTTTACCCAGTGCACTTGGTTAAAGCATCAATTAATCTTAGCCTGATGCTTCTTTGATTTTTAAATTTTCAATATGTCTTATAATACACATTCAGGGGGAAAAAAACTTTTTGCAGACAGTTTCTAAAATAACCTTCCAGACTTCTGTGCACTTAAGTTTTTGTTAAAAATAGATTGCTATGAAACTGTAGAAAATAAAATTCCTGTGAAAGCTTATGTAGAAGATAAGCAAATGGAGTCCCTGAGAAGAAGGTTAAACAATATTGACAGTTTCCCACAACCAAGGTGAAGAATTAAAAAAGGAAAATCAAAGTAACTGCTTACACATTTCTACGGTGATTTCATTTTTTAAAAATGAACAGCCAATGGATTGATGATTTATAACAAAATTGAGTAAAAATACCAACTTGGAAATATTGTACTTAATTAGCACAATTAACATGATTTTTTTCATGTTTAGATAAAACTACTTTTTTTTAAGAAAATATATATTTTCCATTGACATTTTAGGCAGTAAAGTTATCTTTAGATTTAAAAAGCGTTTTGGAGCTCTGTCTGTGCAAGCCATACATCAAAGGAAATTTTCCCATTGCATTTCTGCATCACTACATTCATTTACAAAATATAATTTTTCCTGTCTGTATTCTGTCTAAATGGGTCACTAAGATTCTAAAGTAGGATACTGGCTTTGGGGAGATAAGAAATGTGACTTTGAAAAATAGGCTGTGTTCAATGAAATTCTCAGGACAAACACAGAACACAACAAAGTGCCAGCTATGTACATTTATTTGGTGGTAAGCATCTTACAAGTATGGGCTATCTGTCAAGCAATACTCAGCCGGTGTCCCAAACTCTGGCTATTAGAGCATGGGTACAGAGTGTACACTGAATATGGTTTACAAAAATTGAAAAACAGGTTGCTGCTGAAAAATGAGTATTGAATGAATCCCCATTCAGTTTCATAGTGGATTATAGGTTATTAACATCTTCCTTAAACTGAACATAGTTTCATATATAACACTGCATGAGATTTACAACAGAAGGATTAAACAGTTTGGATGAAACCCTACTAAAACAGTCAAACTTCTGGAAATGAGTTGTGTTTCCAAAAAGCTGTTATTTAAAGTTTTAAAATATCTCTTCCTGAAAACACACCAAAAAAGCTAAAGGTGAGAATTTTGGGGGTGTCTCAACTCCAAGTAAAGTAGCACCCTCCCCACCTCCAAACACTTAAGAATGGACTAATACTTGAGAAAAGGAACGTTTACAGGGAGATCCCCACATCCCCCCAAAGCGCAAACATCCTCTTACATTTCCTGCCCACAGGCATAGGTCTTGAGTGTTTCCCCACCCCCCTTGTAAGTTTGGCACCAATCACATAACTTTCAATTCACAGAATATACAATGCAAGGTATCTGACCCTATTGAGACAGAAACTACATAGGCGCCTGCGATGGCAAGAGGGGAAAAACAAACAAACAAAAAAACGACTACCACTTTCGGTAGCTAGAATCCTTTGTAGATATTGAGACATGCACGCATTCACTACGACTTTCCATAGGAATTACAAGTCATATAGGATTCGTTAGGGTCTCCAGAGTGAGGGGGGAAATCCTATTTTCGTGGGGAAAGCAAGAAGGCTTTAAAGTGACAGTCCTTGACCGCGAATGTTTATACCATATACATACCTGCTCTAGAGAGGGATTTTACATTTCGCTGTCCGCTTCTCTGGCGGAACATTGACTACTGGGAGTTTTAGGAGAGGAAAATATAGGCAGGAAAGAGGGTAAACTTGCAAATTCAAGAAATCCCCACAGAAATTCCCATGATCTGTTTCCTCCGAGGCCAACCGCACAATCTTCCTCATCTCTTTCCTCAACAGCCAGGCCGCAACGGCATCTGCAGCAGCAGTACCTGCCGACTTTCTGAGGGGTGGCACTTATTTATGTGCCGGGTCAGCCCCGGGGAGCTAAAAAAAGTGGACGGGCAGTGCTTGCACGAGAAAATTTGCTGAGCACTCCCGTCGGATGCTCCGCCTGGGCTCGGCGCTTCTGGGGGCGCCCCGGCCAGAGCAGGCAGGAGCAGCTCCTCGCGGACCGCGTGCCACAGCCGGTGTTTGTCCCTGATGTCTGCGGACGGGAAGTGCGCCCCGCACAGGGGGCAAGCGAAGGCGAGTGGGGCACCGTGTTCGGAGCCAAAGCCCGGGGCAAGCGCACGAGCAGAGCCTGCCTCGTGAGTGCCTAGGTGCTTGCGCAGATAGGCTTGGCGACGGAACTTTTTGTGGCAATATGGGCACATGAAGATCTCGGATCCCCCGACACCACTGGCACTACCTGGCCCAGGCACCCGGCGCCCCAACACCCCCTCCGTAAAGGGGACCTGAGGCAGCGGTGGCTCGGGGTGGGACAGCACCTGGAGGCCCTGGTGTGGGGCGCTGTCCTGGTGCTCCGCCCTGGAGCTGTCCCTCGCCTGCAGGTGCTGATCGGCCGCTCGCTCTGCCCGGCTGTTCTCCTTCCCCTCCGCCAAGAAAGATGCAACAGCCCCAGAGTCTGGGGAGGTGGAGGAAGACGAAGGAGGTGGCTTCCCGTCAGCTGAAGAGACTGTGGCGGCATTTGCCGCTGCGGGACGTGGTTTGTGCCAGCGGCGATGGGAGGCGAGGTTCGCAGGGCAGCTGAAGACCTTGTCGCACTCCGGGCAGCGGTACTCAACGCGTACGATGCGGGAGCAGCGGTGCTGAGCCAGAGCGAAGGGATCTGCGTACTGCTCCTTGCATAGCTGGCAGATAAACTCCCCCAGTGGCGTGCGGCTGCCCCCCAGACCCCGGGACGGTGCTCCGGGCTCCTCCTCCTTGATCTTCAGGCCCAGGACAGGGGATGTGGTCACTTCATCGGCGAAGCTCAACTTCCTCATGGCCTTTGGCTTCTTGACTCCGGCGGCCGCAGGTCCAGACGTGCAGCCCGGAGGGGCCTTGGCACGGCGCTCGTTGCCAGCGGCCCGCTTCAGGCCGTGCAGGGTGGCCGAGAGGGGCGCAGGGTCTGGATGGAGCTCTGGCTCTGGGAACGGTGCCCGGAGCGGCAGCAGGAACTGCTCCCCTGAGGTCGGTGCAGCTGCTGGCGCCGCCGAGCAAGAGAAAGCAGCCACCGCGGCGGCACCCCCGGGGAAGGACTCTGCAGAGACGGGTGAGCTGAGGCAGCGCTCCAGGAATGCCCGGCGCAGCTCCGCGCCCGCCGGCTTCGTGGGGCTGGGGCTGGGCCCGGGACCCTCCCTACCATCCGCCCTCCACTCCGCAGCACCTTCCTGCCCGCCCTCCCCCAGGCTCACCCTAGCCACCTGACAGGACGACCCCGACAGTTCCCGGGCCGCCGCCTCCTCCTCCAAGGTGGGGGTTGCCACCTGCTCCGCACCGGGCTGGGGGGCACTGGAAACCTCCTCGGGAAAGGGCGGCGCCCCCTGGGGCTCCAGCCGGGGGAAAACCCGCTCAGCTAGGCGCACTCGATACGAGCCGCCTGTCCGTTTAGTTCGCTTTACCAGGAAGCCCCTCGGCATGGTGGAGTCGGGAGTGCTCAAGGGGCAAAGAGTAAAGGGGGCGCCGCGGGGGCTGTGAGCTGGCGAGCACCGCAGCTACCTGAGCTTCGCCACAGCCGTCATGCGTGGGCTGCCTTTATAGCTGAGACTCGGGGCCGGGGGACCACCGGTCGCCTTCAGGCTAGACCGGCCAATCAGGAGTGGCAGCGGGCGCCAGGGGCGGGGTTTTCGCCTGGCTGGGCTCACAGGGGTCCGAGAGACCGGCTGCGGCCCGCGCCCCCACCCCACCTCACAGCGGCCTCGGCTGGGCCCCAGCAGCTGGCTTAGGAGCTGCCCGTGCCGCCTCCCCCTGCCGCCCACCGGGCGGACAAAGATACAAAAAGGTAAGGTCCAGAATGTGAGGAAGCTCGGCACTCACCGCCTCCGCTGCCTCCGGGGGGGGGGGGGGGGGCTGTCCAGGGAGCCATGAGGAGACGCAACTGATGGGCGCCTTCTTTGCGGGCTGGGACCCTGCGGTGGCCCCGACGCGAGGGACTCTGATGGAAGCCGAGAGGGAGGAAGGCGAGAGGAAGGGGCCGCGGGCGGTGCGACCCAGGAGGCAACTGGGTGGGTGTCCGCTGGGGAACGGGTTAATGTCCTCTGCCCTTATTGAGCTGATGAGAAGCTGCGACGGAGCGGCAGGGCGGCTAAATCCACCGCCCTGTGCCTACACTTGACGGTGGGAGCACGTCTGCCATCCAGTATCGATCGACACTGCGCGCGTCTGTGATACTATGAGAATTCATCTGGGAAGAAGGGCTCTCAGTGCGGGAGATCGTGCGTGCTGGCAAGCCTCTGGAGCTCAGGACGCCAGCCGGCTTCTGGACCCTGGTCCTCAGGTCTTATCAATGTCCCCTCCCCGATGGGAAAAGGAGTGGGGAGGGGAAAGTAGGATCTAATTTTTGACTGTCCTCAGATAAAGTGGTTTCTCTGTTCACACCTTCCACTTGTACTACCCAGAGACATGACTTAGTGCCTGACTGACCTGTTTAGCATGGAGTAGATTGAGAAATACTGGCAGAATCAGGATTACATCTGCTTCCCCTTATACAAGGACTACTTTGCAAAAGGTGTGCAATGGGCCAGATTTAATAGATTTTCATCCAGCACTCTGTAATGTGCCCAGCACTGTTTTAAGCACTAGAAGATATTTGAAAGTTTGTAATACCAGCTGAACTATGAAATAATTAGAAAAATTGACAGATGTATAATAAAGTACCAAAAGTCCATAATACAATATGAGAATAGGAAGGGGAAAGAACTCAAGTCTCCTTACTAGATCAAACTGGAGACAAAGACTTAGTAATGTGTTTTTAAAGTAGACTAGTATTAACAGATGTAGTCATCAATAATACACATCCCCTTCCTTCTAAGTGAATGAAGTGTTTTTACATGGAGTGCATTATTCTGGGGAAGACCTGGAAGTAATTATATATTTGTTAATCATTAACAATATTTTAGGCATTCTACTTAAGTAATCTCTAATCTTCTCACACATACACATCAAACAAAGGAGATACTATTACTCTCCTTTTTTTTTGATGAGGGGATTGAGCCATAGAAGTTAGATAAATAACTCACAAAAGTCACCCAGAGCTCAGATTCAAACTGAGTTCTAGCTAATTCCAAAGCTCAGACTCTTTCCACCACATTAGTGTATTCAAACTATTTTTTTTTTCTGGTCACATCCCACAATAAGAAGTATATTTTATGGCACACACATGGAACTGAAACAAAAATTTCAGAAAATAATATTTAGTTTAGGTATAATGCATTCTTGTATTTTCTGTGTGATTATATTTTCTTTTATAAAATGCTGATAGCAAAAAAATTGATTTCATAACTTACTAATGGATTAGGACCCACAATTTGAAAAATACCTTCATGATGGTGTTTCCCATTACAAAGCATGAAATCATACAAAATTAAATAAACTTGATACTTTATAATCAAAATTAACATTCTGAATCACTACATAAAATATTTGAGTCCTTTAATAGTGTTGATAAATTTAGTTTCCCAAAATTTGATCATTTCTGACACGTCAGTTTATGTATGACTTCTGCCTCAACTTCTTCTCAACTCTTCCTTTCTTTTTCTCCTAATGGCCTGGACATATTGTGTGGTGTTGCAGATTTTAGGTAAGATTTTAATACTTTAAGATAGCCCCTTTCCAAGAGAGGCTTTTCCTCGGGGGTATGTAGAACTTTGTAAGAATTGCAACCATATGACCCAGCATTTGTGCATCTAGGTAATACACAAAAGAATTGAAAACAGGGACTGAAACATACACTTGTACACCAATGTCCATCGTAGCATTATTCAGGAAAGCCCAAAGATGGAAACAACCCAGTGTCCCACAACAGACAGATGTATAAACCAAATGGGGTATATACAAATGACAGGATATTATTCAGCCATAAAAAAGGAACAAAATGCTGATCCATACAACATGGATAAGTCTTGAAAATATTATGCTAAGTGAAATGAGCCAGACACAAAAGACAAATATAAGATTTCAGTTATATTGAAACATCTATAATAGGCAAATTCATAGAGACAGGCAGTAGATTATTGGTTATCAGGGATTAGGGAAATGGGAACTTATAGTGTAAATGGTTACTGAATTTCACTTTGGGGTGGTAAAATGTTTTATTAATAGTGGTAAAAAAAATAGTGGTGATAGATGGACAACATTGTGAATGCTGTCAATGCCACTGAATTACAAACTTAAAAATTGTTAAAATGGGAATTTTGGGGGGCATCTTGGTGCCTCAGATGGCTAAGCGTCTGCCTTCAGCTCAGGTCATGATCTCCAGGCCCTGGGATTGAGCCCCACATCAGGCTCTGGCTGGCTCAGCGGGGAACCTGCTTCTCCCTCTCCCTCTGCCTCTCCCCCTGCTTGTGTGCTTTGTCTCTCTCTTAAATAAATAAAATCTTTTTTTTTTAAGATTTTATTTATTTATTTGAGAGAGAATGAGATAGAGAGAGAGCATGAGAGGGGGGAGGGTCAGAGGGAGAAGCAGACTCCCCGCCGAGCAGGGAGCCCGATGCGGGACTCGATCCTGGGACTCCAGGATCATGACCTGAGCTGAAGGCAGTCGCTTAACCAACTGAGCCACCCAGGCGCCCCTTAAATAAATAAAATCTTAAAAAAACAAAAAGCAAAAATGGACATTTTTGTTGTATATATTTTACAATAAAAATTTTTCACACATACACAGAAAGGAGGAGGCAAAATTATGGCATATCAGACTATGAAAAGAATATAAGGACCAGGTCATGTAATTTGGACTTTATAACATAGGACAGGCACAGAGAGTCATTTAAAGGTTGTTTGTTTGTTTGTTTGTTTTTAAGGTTTATTTATTTGAGAGAAAGAGCACACTCAGAAGGGCAGAGGGGGAGGGAAAGGAGAGAAAAAATCCTCAAGCAGACTCCCCACAGAGCTCGAGGAGGGGCTCAATCCCATGACCATGAGATTGTGACCTAAGCTGAAATCAAGAGTCGAAGGCTTAACTGACTGAGCCACCCAGGTGTCCCCCCCGCTTTTTTTTTTTTTTTTTGAGAGTCATTTAAAGTTTTAAAGTGAGGGAATGACATTTGCTTTTGAAATTGCATGAGGAAAAATATCTTTGGCTAAACTTTCTGCTAGACAGAGAAAGGGAAACATAGATATAAGACTCTCCATCTCTCAGCCCTTTCCCTTCCAACCGAGAATGTGTGTCTGTTTCTAGAAAAAACAAAATGAAGGAAACTTAAAAAGTCAAAAGAGCAGTTATAATGAGAGAATACTTAATGAAACGATTGGCATAGATCTGATATTCAATACCTGTTTTTTTTTAATAAATAGTGCTAGTTATCAAATGGACAACTAATGTGTCATCCATCCATCCTTCCAGCCATCCTGTCTTCCACTGTACATACGTCTATTCAATCACCCATCAAACAATTGCTGTGTATTCTTTCTGTGATAGTTCAGAAACATAGTGTTCAAGGAGTATCTACCCTCTGTTATTTTCAGGAAAACAAGTCTGTCTAGGAGAGGGCCTGGCCCACCTGGAGCTGTTATTATTCCTGACCACCATTTTACAGAAATTTACCCTGAAATCTCTGGTTGACCTGAAGGACATCGACATCACCCCAGTTGCCAAAGGGCTCCCTTCTGTGCTGTCGCCTATCAGCTCTGTCTCATTCCTGTGTAAAGAAGGGCAGACTGTCTGGGTGCTGCTGTGGTCCTACAGCCCCCCTCCCCCAGAGGCAGCGTTACCCCCTTCCCACTTCCCGAGTATGCCTTCTCTGACCTCTCCTCTCTCTTCCCCCTGTTCTCCCAACATCCAGTCACCATCCAACCTCCATCAAAGGAGAGTTTCCTGACTTCCACCGCACAAACGTAGCTGCTCCCCTGCATACTCTGGAACACTGGCCAGCACATAGGCTGTTACTTAGCTAACACTGAGTTAGTACTATGTTATCACTCTCACGCACAGCAACGAATGGTTAGTGTATAACGACCCACAGCCATTTCTCCTCTGTGTGTTCAAAATAAAAGGTGTTATTTAAAAAAAAAAAAATTGATGTCAAGTGTTTTCTAACAAATCCAACAGTTCCAGTAGTTCTCCCTCTCCACATAGCCCCGCCCCAAGTATAATTTGCTAACAACCTTTCTGGAAATCAGTGTAGTGATGTATATCAGAAGCTTTTAAAAATATGTATACCCTTTAATTCACCAATTGCTTTTTTAGTAAATCATTCAAAAGAAGGACAAAGATTTATGCACAAGACTAGTTATCACATGTTCTTTATAATTATAAATGATTATAAATTATAATTAATTTATAATAATTATTTTATTATATTTTATTTATAATATATTTTATATATAATATATATTTATATACAAAAATATTTTTATATAAATATATATTATATATTTAATATATTTTATTATATATTATATTATATTATTTATAATTATTTAATTATATTGTATAACATTAACTATAAATAATCAGAAACTACCTTGAGTAAATCCTGGTGCAGCTACACTAAAGATGCATCCTATTAGAATACAAATCTGATCATTTCAACTCTTTTGCTCAGTCTTCAAATGACTTCCCACCATATTTAGAATAAAATCCAAAGCTCTGACTGGGCCCTGGCTGTTCTTACACCACATCTCCCATCACACTCTTCCTCATCCATTCTGTTCCATACACATTCGTCTCCTTATTTTCCTCAAATATGACGAGCACTCTGTCACTCAAGGCTGTTTATTCTGCCAGAGTATTCTTTCTTCAGATATGCTCCTGACTTGTTCCTTCACTTCATTCAGATTTTTACTCAAAAAATACCGGAAAGATCTTCCCTGGCCAACCTAAAAAAACAGCAGCTCTGCG